TGCCTCTACTACCACCAAGCACCCTTTGACTTTTTCAGGAAGCAACAGACCAAACAGAGGAGTACATCCTATTTTCCCTATTTTCTGGGAGATTTTTCAACAAATTGTGATGCAACCCCCATAACCACTCTGCTTCAAAGAGAAAGAGAACGCCAGTGAATGAATGAATGAATGAATAATGTTGTACAAAATGTATTTTTGACCAAGAACAGTGTTGTTTACAACATTTCCAAAGAAACAGCAAGGTTTTTCAACCCAGTCATAAAAGTGAAGCAAGATTTTCTACATCTCAATAGTTGTTTCCAATAAAGCAATATAACAAACAGAACACAACCTATGATCATCTAAATTATAGTTCTTCACAAAGGGGAACAAAACAGGGCCAATCCTTGCCAAGTGAGCTCTTACAGTAAATTCAGTTTAAAAGCAAAAAACTGGCTGCCAGGCTGGATTGAAATCATTGATTTTTTTAATTTTAAAAATCAGATTTTAAAAACATTAAATGCTTTGGGAGGAAAAAAATAGTAAAATATAGTTTTCTATCTAAGATACATTATAGTTCAAAGGTTATTCAGCATGAAATAGAGAATATAGCATGAGGCTGTATATTCATGAAATATTTACATTTTTCGTAAAACTAATTCAATTAATCCAAGTTATCCAAGCTGAGATAACAACAAAAATGGTATAAAATAAACAAAGTTCAGGAAAATACCTAAACTCCATTGTTGTTCAGCAAATCTATGTACAAACAATGACCACATTACAGTAGGACCACAGTATCCACAGGGGATCAGCTCCAAACCTCCCTGCAGATGCTGAAAAACACAGATATAGTGAACATTGCATGGTCTCTCAATCCCTCTAGTGGCCAGCTCTGGTAAACACACCGTGGAAATACATATGTCGTATTTTTCGCTCCATAAGACGACCTGACGATAAGATGCACTTAATTTTAAAGGATATTTAATATTTAATAAACTAAAACAGGATGGAGGGAGCAAATGGAGCCCTGGAATGTTACTTCGAGGGACATGCTCTCCTAGAGTCCCCAAACCCTCACAGCTGCGGGAAGAAACTAAGTGACCAAGCACTGCCACACTGCTGAGAAACAGCGGGAGACCATGAAGGAAAGGACAGCTGCAGCCCTGCAGTCACCGGAGAAGAGAAGCTGAGGAAGAAACAGTTTTTGGAAGGTCTGGTGGGGCGGAAGAGGCTACTCGAGACCCCCGTCAAGAAAGGCTCCCACCGGCTTCAGTTCGTTCCACCGTGAGGCGGAAAGAGTGGCTGAGTCCCCGAAGCAAATCATACCCCCGTCCCAACCGGTGATAAACTGACCCCGAAGCAAATCATACCCCCGTCCCACCTGGTGATAAACTGAGAGACCCTTGGCATCGCCACTATTCTCTCCCTCTCCTTCCTCCACTCCTTCTCCCGTGGGGAGGATGGAAAAACCGCGCCAGGGCAAGCACCTTTGGGCACCAGCGCGTGCCTGGAGAACAGAGGACACCCCGGTGTCCACTTTCCCCCGGGCCCTCTTTACATGGCAGGTCAGCTATTTCGGGGAAAGCCCAGAGGCCCGGCAAACAGCCAGAGCCCGGGGAGTGCGTGAGAAAAAGGGAGCCACTGTGCGGCGCGCACCTCAAGAAGTTCGGGTTGGGGTTGGGAGGGTTACAGTATTCACTCCATAAGATGCACACACTTTCCCTCCACTTTTTTTGGGGGGGGAGTGCATCTTATGGAGCAAAAAATACAGTAAATATGTATTATGGGTGGGGGTTTTTTTCAGTATTTTCAGGCAGTGAATAAGTGAATCAGTGGATTCTGATTCCACGGATAGAGGGGTTCCTAGTGTATCCTAAATGCTAGGTTTGAAGATTGTTTGGAAGATAGTTTGGTTTTTAAAAATATATTTTGCTTAACCACTTCAGTTAATAAACACTGGCATTTAAGAAAATACAAGAATATGTATGCTATATAATGTTAGTGTCTGTGTGTGTGTGAGAGAGAGAGAGAGACAGACAGACAGACAGACAGAACAGACAAACAGGACAAAAGGCAAATTCTTTTTCCTGCCACTCTACTCCCTAGGATGTGTTGTCACCTGTTTTGAGTCTCCAAGGTCAAACTCTACAACATCTCTGCTAGGACTGCCAACCATTTTATTTTTATTGAATGGCTGAGAATGCTTCAATATAAAGTGCTGAGCTGCCATGACCTGCCCTTGTAATTTTTTAACAACACTTCTGGAGTCTACAGGAGCTCGGAAGCTTCCACGGGAAATAAAAAAGGAGATGGAATGTATCACTTCAGTTCTAACAAACTAGCCTACCAAAGTACAAGAAGCATTTGTTTTTGCTTAAATAATGACAGATGAGGAGCCTGGCGGGTGCTAAGAGCGGTGCTTGTAAGAACAATGTTGTGGAGACCAGTAATATACACTTTAAAGAGGAGAAGATGCCAAATTAAAAGTTAAAGCTTCTTTTGGTCCTCTGTGCAAATCTGACAGTTCAGATGCATTTGTCCTAGAAAGCTATTAAGAGACAAGAATAATCACAGTCCCATAATATAACCTCGTCCCAAATAAAAAGTATTACTTGCCTATACTTGCCAATAGAAATACTGGATATTCTCCCTGTCTTTTGTAAATGCCACATAAGGGACAGCAGATTAACCCCATTGATATACAGGCTGAAATCTTGTTACGCAGGTTCATATGTCCAGTGTAAAAAGATGTTGCAACGTTATGGAAAAGCACAGTAAGGGGAAAGTGCTATTCACAGAGCACTTGAGCATGTGTGCCGCAAAATAGGCAAAACAGGAGTCTTGCAGTCAATTGTGCAAGATGGACTGCCATGGCGTGACACCTGGCATGGCATAACACCTTAACACTGAAGTACACTTTACATTATAGAAAAATGAGTAGGGTTTCTTTCAGTCCATATGTAGTGGAAAGCCCATACTCAAACAATGGATTAGCTATTCAATTGCATTACTATAGAACTTCAAGTAACCCAAATAAAAACCCATGCCTTGTAATTTTTTAACAACACTTCTGGAGTATACAGGAGCTCGGAAGCTTCCACGGGAAACTGGCTAAATATGAGTTCTTTACAATACCATATCAATTTTAATATTCTATCATTACAGAGTCCATTAAGGTCCAACAATTAAATTTACCTGGAAGCCGAGAGATCTTGCTCAAGTCTGTGTGGCTTCTGCTCTAGAAGACTCAGATCAGGACTGCAAGCCTCACACGCTTCTTTGTATTGGTCATATCGACCAGATAGGCGGAGTATAAATAAAATAAATAAATATTATTATTTCCTTGGGAAACAGCTTCAGTTCCTGCTAACTGGCATGAAAACCAGGTTTCACTTTCTTTCTCAAAGCTGGTGCTGCAGGTCTTACTGGAAATATTTTTACTGGAAATCATTAAAACCAGGTTTTACTTTCTTCCTCAAAGCTGGGGCTGCAGGCCTTAACTGGAAAAATATTTCCAATAAGACCTACATCCCCAGTCTTGAGAAAGGAAGTGAACCCTAGTTTTCATGCCAGCAGCCAGGTTAGCTGGGACCTCTTGAAGTACCAATGAAAGAACTTAAGCTGTTTCCCAAGGAAATGCTGATATAATGAAACATTTTGGGCTTTAAATCCTGATCTGAGTCTTCTAGAGCAGGAGCCACACAGACGTGAGCAAGATCTCTTGGCTTCCAGGTGAATCTAATTGTTGGACGTAAATAGACTATGTAATGATTGAATATTTAAATTGATATGGTATTGTAAAAATATACAGGTATTGTAAATAATTCATATTTACCCAGTTTGCACAAATTGTTTTATTTGGGTTACTTGGATGGGCACTGTGTTCCTCTTGTTTTGGTGGACATACCATAGAACTTCAGCAATGGCCTGAACTAGAGCAGGTGGCTAGGAGGCAGTGAAAACTGCAAGAAGGCAAACCCAAATCAGCACCGTGCACAATTCAGTTAACGCAAGATTATATATCAAATTACTCCATTTCTACAAGTGCTCCACAAAGCATCTTTCACACATCTGGAACCTGCAGTTCCAATATAAAAGGCACGTTCACTTTCAGAGTCAAGTGCAGCACAACAGCAAGCATTTTTATTTAAAAAAAGTTCAAATACATCTTTAATACAACCCAGTGTGCTCACATTTTATTTCTCTTCTTTAATCTATTCCACCTTCATATATGGCAGGGATAAAGACCCAATACCTGCAAACTCCAGTGTATAAAAACTGGCCATGGATAGTGGCTCTTCCCCAGTTCTGAATGTCACATAAGCACCACTGGCCAGCCGAGCATTACCGATCCGCAGGCATTTAAGCAGCCCGGGGGCCAACGTTTGCTGATCAGCAGCAGAAACCACACCGACTCCAAAGGGCGCTTCCCTAAGTTGCGCCTAGATCCGCAGCAAGATCCTCTGCGTGACCACCCGGAGCTAAATCTCACAGGAGGGCTTCCTTCTGTGGCGGCCGATCGGCGCCTTAAAAGGGGGGGGCACCCGATACCCGTTTTGCCCAGAAATAAGACCCCACTGTAAGCGTCCCGTGGGGCTCCTTCCAACAGGATCAGGATATACAGGACTGCAGCCAAGCATCTTAACACACACTTCAGGGAGGAAAAAACACCAACCAGCTCAGAGAGCTTGATTGCTCAAGCACCCACACATCTGACCTGAGGGGTTCGGGGGAAACACGTCCTGAAAAAAGGTTGATGTTGCTGGGGTGGTGGTGGTGGTGGTGGTAAACGAGACCCCTTAAATCCCAGCCCTACAGGGCGAGCAGCCAGGCAGCTAAGCAAGTAGCTGATGACCCTTATGTAAAAATTATTTAGTATGTAACGCGGCTGCCGGCATTCCCGCTCTCGCTCTCTCTACCACCCCTCCCTCTGAATTTATCTCCCTATCTTGACATCCTGTCGAACTACACCGCATTCCGTGCCGGGGAGGCGGCGCACCAGCGGAGCTTCTCACCTCTCCCGGGGTGTTTCTTCCTCCTCCTCCTCCATGGCTGGGTTTTTATTGCCCCCTCTCTTTGGCTGGGGCAGCGGGTGCTGGTCTCTGCAGCCCCGAAACGGCAGCTGCCGATCCGGTTTAGCTGCCCACCGACAAGGAAGCGAGGGCAGGAAACGCAGCGCACGGCAGCGGCTCCACAGAGCTCCGCGCC